ACTTATCGGCACAATGATTCCCTTCCCTGTAAATATATGTTGCCAATTAAAGTTTCCTCATTGATGCATACAATTGTCTCATCTGTACTTGATTTTTCAAGTCACTACAGATGGTTTACTAAACGCCAAAACAACTAATTTAAAGTCCATCTCTAATCAAAGATTAGACCAATTGTGATCAATAGTCTGCTCAATAGAAAAAATAGCTCCCATAAGCTCAGAAAAATAGAGCATTCTCGTCGCCTAAATTATACGCAAAGCTCCCAACATGATTACCAAAATGATCTCTGAATATTCCCCCACAGGCTGCCTTAACCGAGACCCCACCAGAAGCTCCGCCAACATTGACCTTCATCCACCCTCTAGCTGGAGGGTACCAAATGACTTCTTTACAAACCTGAGGTTTAGGTTAATTGATAATAATGGAAAAAATTGTAGGACCATAAAATCTCCAATATCCAAGTTAGAGCACCCGATTGTGGAGTTACCAGCTAGCATAAATAAAGAAGAGATGAAAGAGCATGTGGACCTCCAATGTATTTGCGTATCTTGAAACCTAAAAAAATTACGAGCACGCCAAATACCATAGCCATCGCAATAACAGAAATACAAATAACAACCTTGCATTGCATAGAAACAAAACTACTCATACCAGTCAGACAATCATCAAGAATCGTTTGATAACATGCTGAACTTGAGAATGGTTATTGGTCAAAATTTGTTTCCACCAAAAATTGAACTCAAATTTTCCCAAACGATACGTTCTAAGGGGGCCAAATTGTAGATATTATCCACACATAAAATTACCTAACATATAAATATTAAAAGTTCATAAATCAAAGAGTGAATTGATTGTTTGAGAAAATTATAACTATTATATATCAAAATTAATTTTACGACATGTCTCATGACTCTTTATCTTGTATCACTATAGTAAAATTTATCATTGGATTGAGAAATATGACGATATGATTATATTTATAAAATTTAATATCAATCAAAAACCATTTGATATATCAAAGAGATTAGGAGTGTTCATAGTGCGAATTGAGTGACTTTGACGCTAAAATCATCCAAACTGCGAGATAAAATGACGTGCCATTCGATTTGATTCGGTTGATTTTTAGAAATAAAGCTGAGCCAAATCAAACTAAACTAATGTGGTTTGGATTGATTTGGTTGGTTTAATTTTTACAAAAATTTTATTGAGCTCATACATACATGACAACATGATTGTGTGTTTAATCATTCATATATTATCATAAAATAAATGTATAGTTGTCAAAATAACTTTATAATTTTATGCATAAATATGAATTACAAATTATAATTTTATCTTATGTCTAAAGAAAATATGTGAAATTGTATTATTAAATAAATTTGAAATACTATTAATATTTTATATATAAACAAATATAAAAGTAAGGTAAATTAAACTTTTTCTTTTAATCTTATCCTTATTAATGTCAAAAATATAAAAATAAAAATAAATATATAACAATTTTATTTTCAATAAAAATAATAATATTTAGGCAAAATATCATTTTTGGTCCCTTAACTATACTCTTGAGTTCAGATTGGTCCCTTAATTATTCTTCGTGTCAAATTGATCCCTTAACTCTTTAAAACATGTCATGTTGGTCCTTTTTGTCTAATTAGCGACGAATTTAGCGTTTGATTTTTGAATTTTTCCGCCACTAATTAGTGAAAGGACTAATATGACACGCTTTAAAGAGTTAAGGGACCAATATTACACAAAAAGTAATTAAAAGACCAATATGAATCTAATGGTATAGTTAAGGTATCAAAAAGAATATTTTGCCTAATATTTATAAATAAATAATATTTTATTTTTCATTGATATGTAAATTTAAATAAATATCATATAAAGAATATGATAAAATATAGACATAGTACTTGTTGAGTCTTCCAAATTAAAAATATATAATAGTTTGTAAGATTTTGTAACATAATGTAATTTTGTTCGGTTTGCAAAATACAAATCAATAACTGAACCGCTATGCGCTTTTGTTAGAAAATGACCCAAATACTTACGAACCAAATGCATTTCTTTACGGTTTTTAGTTTGATTTGGTTTGCTTTGCAATTTTGTATTATAACGATTCAATTTTGAACACCTATAAAAGAAATGGATCAAAACACAACTACAAAATACCTCGGACGTAAAATGCATAATATCTCAGAGCATCTTTAGTGGGAGTAAACTAAATGGGTAAACTAAGATACTTTTTGTGGGTCCAAAGTGATTTGTAGGATTTAAAAAATTTATAGTTGATTTGATTAGTTTTTACTTTAATGGTGGTTGTCTATAAGAAACCAAAACTTGACCCCACATTTTATATTTTTTATTCAAGTTACCATTAATTTAATTATTTTAATTAAAATACATATAATTTTTTTAAATAAAATTTACCTTAAAAACTTAAAAATAATATTAAATATATTTTATTATAAAATTAAAAATGATACAAAATTCACAACAATAATACATAAAAAAATTACATTTTCATAGGAATATAATTATAATAAGGATTCGATTGGTTGAGATCCATTTGATAAATAAATAAGATTGGAAATTGAAAGAAAAAATTTAGAAGTAAAACTGTGTGTAAAAAAAATTAAAATTTCTATAAAATTTATAGAAGGTAAAAAATGATAATATGACGGTTACTATTTTCAAATATTATATCCTTGTTGGAATATTTGGAATATTTTATTAATATTAAATAATATTATAATAGGTTTCACATAGTTAACGTTAACTATATAGATAATGGGAACTAAATTTTAGTTCATTTGGATGCCATGTCAGCTCTCCTATAATGCAAATTCCTTATTACTAACGTAAGCTATAAACAATTTTGCTTTAACAACCCTGCGTTAAAGTTGCTCTCAGCTAAAGAAGTAGAGTAATGATGATTGACATGAAAACTTGCCACATATACCTTGGTAGAATTAAAACCGAGAGATAAAGTTATATACACGTGGGTTCGAACCCCAGGATCAACATTTTTATTATTTTCAAAACCAGTGTTTCTTATATCTCGGTTTATCATGAAAACCGAGCGGTAAGATTATTTTTTTTTTAAGTTATTGCATTGTTTACCCAGAATATTAAAAGGAAAATAAAACTCCTAGAGATATAGATAAAAATCAAATTCCCTAAAGATTTAGATTTTAGATCTTTGAATTATTAAATCTTGGAGAAGATCATATGTTGGGTGCAAGATTATTCTCTACGAACCTTGCATGCATTTGATTCTGAAGCAAAACAAAATAAGGGTTAGATAAATAAAATCAATATTCAAATATATGATTTTGTACTCAAATAAATATTTAAGAAAATAAACCTTAAACCCAAGTAATTTTCTACTCTTTCAATCCATCTTAGAGAACTTTTCCAAACGTCTTTATGTTTCAAGCGCTTCATGTTCCATATAGGTGACATTTTTAATATTCTGAATGATTTTATAATTGATGTCCCTTAGGTTTCACGCGGATCACTAATGCCATATTTTTTTAGCGTTGATAAACATTAAATAGGCGATAAAGATTTGTTGAAGGGCGTTGAATATAGTAAAAAAATGCTTAACTATCCCTTCAGTTACGAAGAAAACCGGGGTGAATAAGTTATTTTTTTAAGGTTACATTTTTTACATAGAATATTAAAAATACATTGTATAATCTGTTTCCCAATGAGAATTTTTATTTTTCAGGTCTAGGTCCCATGCAAGATGTTAGAAATCTATTTCCCAATGAGAATTTTTATTTTCTACACTTGTAATTTATCACCGAGATCTGTAGTAGAAACTCATGATCAAATAAAGGGTGGTGAATATTTCCTCTCTTTAGGGCAGTTGCATATAAGTTAATCTTAGGGTAAAATATGTTTAACGAGTGTTTTTATAATAAAATATGATTATCAAACACCTCGATTTTATTATAAATTTTTTTTTCTTTTCAAAATTACGTTGTTTATACAAAATATTAAAATAAATAGTTTACAACAAATCTTTGCTCTTATTACTGAATATCTTTGCTGATATCCAAATTTAGTTGCATTACCTTCTTTGTTCAAAGGTTAAGCTCCCTTCCTTGTTGGTTAAACTCAATTCTTTGTGTTACTTGAAGAAAGAATGATTTTCTGCACTTGCATTCTATCAACTGAGTACTTTTCAAAGGTTGAGCTCCCTTCTTTAATTGAGGATTATTCTAAAAATACAACAATGACAACATCAATGTCATTATGTTGGTATGGATAACAAGGCCAGAAAACTTTAGGATAAGAGGTTTTCAAGGCTTATTTTGAATATCAATGTGATAAGAGTATTTAAAAATAAATTTTTATAAGAATCATATTGGTAGTGAAAATTATTATTCTTTATAACTTTAGTACTAATGAATACTTTTAAAATACTAATAATAAGAATATGGTGGAAATATCTGAGATATGTCATGTATTTCATGGTGTATCATCGGAGACTTTAATGACCTATTAGCTCAATAAGACAAGCAAGGTATTCACCCTGGCCCAAATTGGTTGTGTGTTAGTTTCCACAAAGCAGTGAGTGACTGTAATCTCGCCGATATCCCTATTGAAGGTCATCAATTACGTGGATCAAAAGTTAGGACACTGGCCATGTGCTGGAGGAGAGACCGGATTGAGCCTTAGCAACTCTAGCTTGGATGGACGTGTTTCCTAATGTTAGGCTTGTAAATCTTATAGCTTCTCATTTGGATCATAGTCCTATCTTATTACACCGTGATCATGTACATCAAAGGCATAAAAAATATGTTTTCAGGTTCGAAAATGATTGGTTGAAAGAAGAAGGAATTGAATATATTGTACATAATGGGTGGAGACATGGAGAGAATCACGATGTTATGCAGCGTATAATAGTGTTTATGGAAGAGCTGGAAAATGGAATCAAGTAAAAATTAGGAAGAAGAAATAGGAGTTGGAGAGACACAAGGAAACAATGGAAAAGTGTCGTCGGAACCATGACTTGGATTTAACGTCTCGTTTCTTTGAAGCCCAAGTGGAGTATAACAATGCGCTTATTAAGGAGGATACTTATTGGAAACAAAGAGCTAAGATGCATTGGTTATGGGATGGGGACCTCAAGACGAAGTACTTTCATTTATTTGTTACTACTAGAAAGAATTTTCAAAAAATCGAGATGCTCGTGCAGAAAGGTGGGGAAGAAGTGTGAGAGCAGTCGAGTATGTGTGAAATTAGAAAAAGGTACTTCAAAAATATGTTTTCAGCCAAAGGAATTGTGTATAAGGATAATAACAGATTGTTATTATCTATTTCTAAGGAGGAACTTCATACAACTTTGTTGGATATGCGCCCTGATAAATATCTGGGCCCTAATGCTTTTAATCTGGAATTCTACCATAATTTCTAGGACTTGTATGGAAAGGATATATTGGAGGCTGCTACGGTTTGGTTGGACAGAGGTTTCTTTCAGCCGTCGCTTAATGATACAAATATATGTCTGACTCCCAAGTGTGTTAAACCTCACGACATGAAGGATTTATGTTCTATATCTTTATGTAATATGGTCTACAACCTAGTGTCTAAAGTTCTTGCTAATAGAATGTAGGTCATGCTGGATAAGTGTGTGGCAGAGGAATAATCGGTGTTTGTGGAAGGCCATTATATTCTAGATAATATGCTGATTACTATAGAGGTCATTCACGCTCTCAAGAGGAAGACTAAAGATAGTAAAACTCATATGGCTCTCAATATTGACATTAGTAAGGCGTATGATAGAGTGGATTAGGGCTTCTTGAGAGGTATGCTCTCTAGGATGGGTTTTACAGATAGGTGGATTCATTAGGTTATGATGTGTGTTGCTTCGGTATTATTCTTATAAATTTGGATCGAGTCAGACCAATTCAACCAAGAAAGGGACTGAGGCAAGGGGACCCATTGTCTCTTTACCTCTTTATACTGATCTCAGAAGAACTTTCAGCTCTTATAAAAAGAGTAGTGGCGCGTGGTAATATCATGAAATCCAGATTTGCAGAGGGGCACCTAGTGTGTTCCATCTTATTTTTGTTGAAGATTGTTTTTTATTTTGTAAGGCCAATTTAACTGAAGTAGGATATCTTATGAAGTTACTCAACACTTATGCAGACGCTTCAGGTCAAGAGATTAATATGACTAAGTCTTAAGTGTTTTTAGTCGTAACATGAGTAAGACGACACAAGAGAATCTTGCTAGGATTATAGGAGTTTCTCACGTACTGGGAACCGGGAATTATTTCGGTTTACCCTCGATGATTGGAAGTAGTGAGAAGGCTACTTTCTCTTTTATCAAGAATCATATTTGGAAGAGAATAAATTCATGGAGAGGTCGGTCATTATCAAAAGTATGGAAAGAAGTTATGATAAAATCGGTCATTCAAGTAATACTGGTGTATATAATGAGTATCTTTATCCTTCCAGATACGCTGATTAACGATATTGAAAAGATGTTGAATTATTTTTAGCGGGGAGGAGATAATAATAATAATAATAATAATAATAATAATAATAATAATAATAATAATAATAATAATAATAATAATAATAATAATAATAATAATAATAATAATAATAATAATAATAATAATAATAATAATAATAATAGTGGAATACTATGGATGTCGTAGGAAAAGCTAGCTTGTGCTAAGAAGGAATGTGGGTTAGGTTTCAAAGATTTTAAAGCCTTTAACATGGCTATGGCTACTAAACAAGGTTGGCATCTGCTAACAAAATCCCATGCTCTTGTATCTAGAATCTTCAAAACAAGATACTACCCTAGAACTTCTTTCTTTGATGCTAATATCGAATATAATCCAAGTTTTGTGTGGCAAAGCATTTGGAAAGCTAAGGAAGTTTTAACTTTAGGTTGCAGGTGGAGTATTATGGATGGTAGTCATATCATGGTAATGAATGAACCTTGGATTCAGGGAACAAGAGATAGTTTTCTGAATGGACCCCAAAAGCAAGGGGTTTATGGTGTTATCGTTAAAAATATTATATTGCCTAATGCAAAATAATAGGATACGAGTGTCATAAAAGATTTGTTTAACCATGCAAATACTAAAGAAATTTTACAGGTCCCATTGTTGGAGGATGTTAAAGAAGATAGAATGGTTTAGAAAGAAGAGAAAAATGGTGCTTATAGTGTGTGATATGGGTACATAATATGGAGGAGTTCGTGTATGAGTCATGCTAATGGGAGAGGGGAGGAGGATTGTTGTAGCCTCTGGAATATTAAAGCTCCATCTAGAGTTAAACATATCTTGTGGAGAATTTGAAGGATTGTTTACCGACTCGAATTAGACTCTAACAACATTATGTTCCTTGTCCGTCAGTTTGTCACCTTTGTAATATTAAAGATGATTGGCGTCTGTTTTTTTTTAAATGTAACACGACTAATCAGTGTTAGAGGGTAGGAAGTTTGTCCATTCTTATAGACTCTCATTTACATTTTTTTAATGACGCTAAGTCTCTTATCTTTGATATCTCTAGTAAGGAGGATAGGAAGGCTACTAGCAGAACTGCAGTTATGATAGATGTGATATGGAAGAATATAAATGACCTTATATGGAATAATAAGTGTGAGGAAGCTTCTAAACTTCGTTGTATATCATTTCATAAGTGGAATGAATGGTTTACGGCTCAACAAGTTCATGAAACCGAAATGGTCATCATCACACTACGATTTGGAACCCGCCAACTGTAGGGTGATTGAAATACAATGTTGATATGAATTTTGATAAACAACGTGGTACTGCAAATAGAGGTTGGTGTGTGCGTGATAACTTAGGGAATTTTATTATTGCATGTGTAGCTTAGGACTCAAGTACCCTCTCCATCATTAAAGCAGAAGTCTTGGCCCTTAAAGAGGCAATTCATGGAGCTATAGCTCTGCACTTGGAAAATGTTATTTTCAAAAGTGACTCCCGAAGGGTAATTCAATCTATCCAATCTAATCACAATGGTGGATCCGAATTTAGCTTCATTATTATGTCCATTATAAGGTTGTTACATGTTTCTCCCAACCTTGAGGTTAAGTTTATTAAACGTCAAGCAAATTTGGTTGCCCACTCTCTTGTGAGGGCGACCAATTCTTGGTTTAGATGTAGTGTTTTTAATTTGATTCTTCATTATATTAAACAATATTTTATTAATAAAATTTATTGAGTTTGCTTTGGTAAAAAATTGTGGTGAAAATGTTAACAGATTTTATGAAGTTATCAATGTAGCATTTAGTAGAAAATAAATGTGGGATAAGTGGTGGCTATAAGTGATAGAAAATATTAGAGATGAAGATATATCTAGTTATCCGAACAATTATTTAAAAATTATTACATAATTAACAAAATAATGAAAATAATTTTAGTTCTCTCGTTAAATCAACTTAATTTGTAGTTGTACATAGACATCATACAAGAGATTATATTCGAATACTCGATATTCCACTTGTTGAAAATAAAATTAAAATTATACCAATAAAAATGAGAGTTTAAATATTTGTAGTGGAGTAATTCATTATTTATAATGCCACAAAACCAATGATAAGACGTATATGATATATGTAAAGTGAAACAAAAACTATTATAAAAAAAATTCAAAATCACCTAAAATAATAATAAACCAATAGGAAAATATTATTTTTACACTAATTGTAACAACAATGCTATGTTTACACCATCCTTACACCTATATTATATGCACTGTTCACAAATACGGTGAACAGTATTGTAAATAGTAAAATCGTACATAAACAATAGCGTGAATAGTACTATGTGAGCAGTATCATATGCATGAACAATGCTCGTAAGCAGTATCTGTGAATAGTTCATAAACATTGACTTTTAATAGTAAATCAAAGTTAGTTAATAAAATATAAAAAATTGGTTAGTAAAGTGATGAAGTTGGTTAACAAACACCCAGATGTTAAAAATAATTTTTACTAGTAAAATAAAGTTGGTCAATACAACGTAAAAAGTTGGTTAATGAAGTTATGAAGTTGGTTAATAAACGTCCAGGTATAAAAATAATTTTTAGTAATAAAACAAAGTTAATTAATGCAATGTAAAAAGTTGGTTTATGAAGTTATGAAATTGGCTAATAAATGTTCAGATATAAAAAAAATTTATATTTAATCAAAAAAATATTTTATTATTATAATATGTCACTGTTCGCCGTATTGGTGAACAGTGAAATACGGTGTATTGTATAATTCAGTGTAAGAATAACATTTCTCTAGTAAAAACTACACCGTAATCTTATACGGTTTTGTCTTTCTAAAATATTCAATTATTATATTTTTCTTTTTTCTGACCAAACAATCACATAGCCATGTTGTATTTGATACGGTGTAAATCTTGTTGAGAATGTAATTTTTTGTGTCGAAGCAGGTGTAGCTCGACAAGAACAATGCTGTGTCGAAATTAGCCTAATGTAGTGTGTGTCGAGTTGTGTTAGATATTGAAGTGTCGAAGTAGGTTGCTTGACACATAATTTTGACTTAGACCAAAATAGAAATTTTGGGCTTTTATAATTTTGGGTTTTGACTTAGGGTACAGCTAACCTAAAGCTATAAATAGATGGAGTAGCCCTTATTCTTGTAATAACTTGAATTTACAAAATTTTACAGTTGCAAAGTAAATAAGATTTTTCCACAGTTTGTGGGAAGAGAGTTACTTTGCATAAATCATCATCTTCTTCCTTATTCAATTTTATTTCTTCTTCTTCTTCCATTAACAATTGCTGTGCAGAATCATTCTTGCAATCAAGTTGTGATTGATTCACTCAAGTTAAGAGTGAAGAATAAGGGATTTTGATCGGTTGATTGAATCTTGTTCATCAAAATTTGTTTAGAATTACTCAAAATTTTGGGTTAATTCCAACATCTAGTATCTAGAGCTCCGGTTGTGATTCGTGGATAAGATGGCAATAAAATCATCGGAAAGGAAATTTTTTGATGAGTCTCTCAATTCTGAAGGGTCATAATTATGAGAATTGCTGCAAGCATATGAAGGTGGTTTTCTATTATCAAGATCTTTGGGATCTTGTGAAGGAAGGAGTAACACTGCTTGCAGAAAATGCGTCGGATCAAGAAAAGGATGCATATAAAGAATTAAAGAATAAAGACTACAAAGTTCTTTTTATAATTCATCAATATGCTGATCCAGACAATTTCGAAAAG